CTGGCTTTTCGGAGTTGTGGGAGTTGAAGTCCACAACACCTGGAGGGCTGAAGTTTGCCCATGCCTGAGTTATACTTTACAAGAAACATCACACTTATCAACGCCATTACTCCCACCACTACCAATATTGTTAAGGTAGCTTTCTTGTATGCCAGATACGCTCCTACTCGTTTCTTGTTTCTCACGCTTAATGTGTTCTGTCACCCACACCAACAATTAGTGGAAGTGACTGGCTGTGCTTGTTTGTGTTGTTCCTGGACTTCTCTCTCCCCGCAGTGAGACCCAAAGACCATGTAATACTGGAGTTGACAAGCATCTCTACAACAGGAATGGTATGGCAACAGAAAAAGTAGTGGATGCAACTGCATTTGGGGAAGAAGACGGAATTGGTGTTCCAGGATGGAACCTGGATTACAAGAGGACTCAAGGCATGGGCTAGAAATTGTCTCTGGCTCTATTTCAGGCATGAGCAAACTTTGGCCCTCCAGATGTTTTGGACTTCAACTCCCACAATTCCTAACAGCCTACCGGCTGTTAGGAATTGTGGGAGTTGAAGTCCAAAACACCTGGAGGGCCAAAATTTGCCCATGCCTGCTCTATTTACAGCTCTTTGCAGGGTTTTAAATTTTTCACAACTGGTTTCGTTCAGAGATAAATAATATTCCCCATGGAAAAAAGAATGGAACTCCATCACTGGCTTTTAACTCTGATGAGATTCCAATTTCATGGATATCTACGTCGGAAAAAAGTCATCTCCTGGTGCCTCCTATTTTTAGTAATTGTATCACAGAATGCCTTCCCATGCATTGCTTTGCCCTTGTCTCATCACTATAATGAAGACATGGTGGATGTAATATATCACTAAGGAAGCAGGTCATTTGGACCCGAAACAGTTCTCCCCCACAGCTCAGAAGAGTTCACGGTTATCAAAATAATTGTTTACGACAGAAATTGTTCCCCAGCTGAAAGCGTAAATGAACTCCCTGAGATTCTACGAAGCCAAAACATGTTTCCCCACAAAACACATTGATTTCATGGCATTCTTTCTTCTAAATTCTGTTCATTAGCTAATCTCCCCTGGTAAGAACCAACAGGACTTCTCCCGGAAACACATTAACAGATATTTTGTTCAAGCTACTATGCATGATTGAACAAATGTTTGAAATTACAATGGGAAAAAAGGCATCCTGGACGATTTAGAACTAAAACAGACACACAGCTAATGACTTTATTTATTTATTTACTATATTTATATTCTGCCCTTAAAACATTTGTCAACACCATGAAGCCAGTCCAGTTCAATTCCATAATTTTGTCAAAACCATAAGCCATTCCAGTTCAGTTCCATAACCAAGTGCTGCTATGTCTGTTGTCCAAAAACGTGGTTCCAGTACCATTATTTCAGTTTTTTTTTCTGAAAGACAGGAAGGAAGAAACTGACCTGATCTCGCTGGAGAGCAAGTTCCATAGGCAGGGAGCCACAGCCGAGAAGACCCTGTTTCTTATTCCCGCCAAACAAATTTGCGAAGCTGGCGGAGCCAAGAGCAGGGCCTCTCTGGACAATATTAAACTGTGGGGTGGGACATAGAGGGAGATACGTTCTGACAAGTAAGCTGAGCCAGAGCCATATAGGGCTTTATAGGTCAAGACCAGCACTTTGAATTTAAATCATAAACATTACCATTAATAGCTATAAAATCACATTATCTGCAATCAAGGTCAGGCCATTCCAGTGATCATTACACGTAGATCCAAGTCCATCTATTGCACTGTATTAGTTGCCAAAGGCTTGATCCAAAAGCCATATTTTCACCTTTTTTCTGAAGGTCAGGAAGGAAGGGGCTGATCTAATATTGCTAGGGAGGGAGTTCTACAGCCAAGGAGCCACCACTGAAAAGGCCCTGTTTCTCATTCCCACCAACTGTGCCTGCAAAGAAAGTGGGACCAAGACCAGGGCCTCTCCAGATGATCTCACTCTCTGGCACTACTGTGAATACACTTGAAATGATTGTTAAATGCTACATTTTTAACTATATGTGTTTGGAATTGGCCCCATGTAAGCCATTCCAAGTCCCTTCGGGGAGATGGAGGTGAGGTATAAAAATAAAATTATTATTATTATTATTAGTAGTAGTAGTAGTAGTAGTAACTTTAACAGAGTTTACTAGCTAAATCTAAACCGTCTCCTTCATCACTATCTCCTCTTTGTGTTCGTGCTGGTCTAATACCTCTATCTCCTTTTTTCTGACACAGTATTTTCATCCTGGAATGAAGTGCCAAGTGGAGTGCCGCAGAATTCTGTCCCGGGCCCAGTTCTGTTTGGGGAAAATAGATCCTGACAGCGGCTAAAGGAGCTGGGCATGTTTAGCCTGAAGAAGAGAAGGCTGAGAGGGGATATGATAGCCATGTATAAATATGTGAGAGGAAGCCACAGGGAGGAGGGAGCAAGCTTGTTTTCTGCTTTCCTGGAGACTAGGGAACAATGGCTTCAAACTACAAGAAGGAGATTCCATCTGAACATGAGGAAGAACTTCCTGACTGTGAGAGCCGTTCAGCAGTGGAACTCTCTCCCCGGAGTGTGGTGGAGGCTCCTTCTTTGGAAGCTTTTAAACAGAGGCTGGATGGCCATCTGTCAGGGGTGATTTGAATGCAATATTCCTGCTTCTTGGCAGGGGGTTGGACTGGATGGTCCATGAGGTCTCTTCCAACTCTTTGATTCTATGATTCTATGATTTGATGTTGTAGTTGCTGGGATTTAAAGTTCACCTACAATCAAAGAGCCCCTTGAAACCTACCAACAATAGAATTGGGCCAAACTTTCCACACAGAACCCCCATGACTGACAGAAAGTACTGTGTTTCCTGATGGTCTTTGGCGACCCCTCTGACACTCCCCTCTTGACCCCCTCAGGGGTCCCGACCCCCAGGTTGAGAAACGCTAGTCTAGATCCAGGGAAGTCAAGCTACCCCTCTATTCTGCCTTGGTCAGACCACACCTGGAATCACACTGTGTCCAATTCTGGGCAACACAATTGAAGGGAGATGTTGACTCTAAGCTGGAATGTGTCCAGAGGGGGGTGACTAAAATGATCAAAGGTATGGAGAACAAGCCCTATCAGGAGCGGCTTAAATAGCTGGGCATGTTTAGCCTGAAGAAGAGAAGGCTGAGAGAAGACTTGATGAGGGCGGCCATGGATAAACATGTGAGGGAAAGTCATAGGGAGGAGGGGCAAGCTTGTTTTCTGCTGCCCTGGAGACTAAGACTTAGATTCCACCTGAACATGAGGAAGATCTTCCTAACTGTGAGAGCTGTTCAGCAGTGGAACTCTCTGTCCCGGAGTGTGGTGGAGGCTCCTTCTTTGGAGGCTTTTAAGCAGAGGCTGGATGGGCATCTGTCGGGGGGTGCTTTGAATGCAATTTTCCTGCTTCTTGGCAGAAGGGGGTTGGAACGGATGGTCCATGAGGTCTCTTCCAACTCGATGATTCTAGGCCCTTGATCAAAAAATGATAATTAAAAATGTCCCCTGTGAGCTTTTTTGGTGGTGCCAAGCAGACACGACAGTGATAATAAATTATGTAGCGCTGGGTCATTTTCATTTCTGAGAATGCTACTGGCATCCTGTCCCTTTGGGACACTGTGAAAAATTAAAAGCATAGCTTCCAGGCTCAGCTGTCCAATCTGGATTGGAATGCCATCAGCAAGAAAAGCTATTTGTGCATCAAGGTTTAGAAATGTACCTGATGAAACAACTGCCATCCTTGCAGTTGGTTGGAGATACCACTTGCTTGCACTGGACATTTGTGAAGGAGCAGGCCAACCTGCAGCCAATATTCAGGAAAAGGACATATTTGCACCTTTTTGATTCTGGGGCACCAACAGGAGTGAAACAAAATTATTAAGACACTTCGGGTATGTGGATTCTACACAAGTGAGAAGAAATGTGAATGAAAAGCATGACAGCTTGCTCATTTGCCCCTTTAATGAGTGATGAGACTTGGTAACACCAACACCAACTGTACCACTGGAAACATTAATGTCCCATTGATGTTGTATTTTCTCCTCTTATCTCAAGGATCTGCCCATATAGGGTTTCTTTAGAGCAGTGGTTCTCAACCTTCCTAATGCCACAACCCCTTAATGCAGTTCCTCATGTTGTGGTGACCCCCAACCATAACATTATGTTCGTTGCTACTTCACAACTGTAATTTTGCTACTGTTATGATGCATTTTCTTTCACTAGGCTAAATTTGGCACAAATACCCAATATGACCAAATTTGAATAGTAGTGGGGTTGAGGGGAGTTTGATTTGTCATTTGGGAGTTGTAGTTGCTGGGATTTATAGTAAACCTACAATCAAAGAACATTCTGAACTCCACCAATGATTGAATTGAACCAAACTTGGTACACAGAACTCCCATGAACAACAGAAAATACTGGCATTGACCTTGAGTTTTGGAATTGTAGTTCACCTATATCCAGAGAGCACTGCAGACGCAAACAATGATGGATCTGGACCAAACTTGGCATGAATCCTCAATATGCCCAAATGTAAACACTGGTGGAGTTTGGGAAAAATAGACCTTGGCATTTGTGAGTTGTAGTTGCTGGGATTTATAGTTCACCTACTATCAAAGAGCATTCTGAAACCCACCAATGATGGAATTGAATCAAACTTCCCACACAGAACCCTCATGGCGAACAAAAAATACTGTTTTCTGATGGTCCTTGGCAACCCCTCTGACACCCCCTCGCAACCCCCACAGGGGTCCCGACCCCCAGGTTGAGAAACACTGCTTTAGAGCATACTCCCAACAGCCAATGTCTGTACCATTCCAGCTGTCTTCTTCAGCAATTGTTGCCTCAAACTGCAGCAGCGGAATAAATGTCAAAATATTTAAAGCAAAAGTAGACAACTTTCCTTGCCCAGTCAGATGGGGTTTTTCAATCATTTTTATTAAATACACAATAAACAAATCTACAAATAAACAATCCATATACTATTGCTTTTTGGCCTTTTGGCTAAGATCAAGTGTAGTAATCTTATCTGTTTAATATCTATTATTTTGGGGCTGCGGTGGTGCAATGGGTTAAACCCTTGCGCTGCTGAAGTGCTGACCTGAAGGTTGGCAGTTCGAATCCACAGGACGGGATGAGCTCCTGCTGTTAGGCTTAGCTCCTGCCAACCTAGCAGTTTGAAAACATATAAACGTGAGTAGATCAATAGGTACTGCTTCATCAGGAAAAGGCAAAAAGACATTCCAAGCTGTCATGCCAGCCACACGACCAGGAGATGTCAGACGCAGGCTCCTCGCCTAGGAAATAGAGAAAGAGCACCTTCCCCAGAGCTGGAGATAAGTACCACTTCCAAGCCAGAAATGAAAAGAAAAGTCTTTGTGGATTGTTGTAGGTTTTTTCAGGCTATATGGCCATGGTCTAGAGGCATTCTCTCCTGACGTTTCGCCTGCATCTATGGCAAGCATCCTCAGAGGTAGTGAGGTCTGTTGGAACTAGGAAAAAGGGTTTATATATCTGTGGAATGACCAGGGTGGGACAAAGGACTCTTGTCTGCTGGAGCTAGGTGTGAATGTTTCAACTGACCACCTTGATTGGCATATAATGGCCTGACAGTGCCTGGAGCAAACTTTTGTTGAGAGGTGATTAGATGTCCTTGTTTGTTTCCTCTCTGTTGTTGTGCTGTTGTAATTTTAGAGTTTTTTTTAATACTGGTAGCCAGATTTTGTTCATTTTTATGGTTTCCTCCTTTCTGTTGAAATTATCCACATGCTTGTGGATTTCAATGGCTTCCCTGTATAGCCTGACGTGATGGTTGTGTCTTTGTCTTTGTCTCATTGTTTTGTAACAAGGCATTTAATGTTTGCCTATGTCTGTGTATATACTGTAATCCACTCTGAGTCCCCTTGGGGAAAAAGGAGGAACATAAATAAAGTGTTATAATAATTATAATTATAATTATTATTATTATCAACAACACATAAAATACACTAAAACAATACTGTTATTCTTCAAGTACCTTTAGTTTATTCTTCTCAATTCTCATCATCTTTATTGTCCACTCATAGTATTCTGAACCACAGCTACCTGGATTAGTTTTTGCAGAAAATGAACACATGATATGTTTGTTTTATGCCAAATCATATGTTCTGTGGTATTATCTTCTTATATACGACAATATTCATTTATCTGTTTCCAGACTCTACGCCAGGTTAGCCAATAAAAAGTCGTGGTTCCATCAAATGTTCCAGCTCATATCTCACATATTAAAAAATCACATTCTACTTAATAGTTCTAATCCATGCTGTTTTGCCTGAAGACTCCCACCAAGCTTGCCCATAACCAATATTTAGGACAGGGGTGGTAAACTCATTTTCACCAAGGGCCATACCAGCCTTATGGTTGCCTTCAAAGGGCTGCTTGTAATTATAAGACTACCAAGGAGCTGCGGTGGCACATCCTGAAGGTCAGTGGTTCGAATCCACGGGATGGGGTGAGCTCCCATCTGTCAGCTCCAGCTTCCCATGCGGGGATGTGAGAGAAGCTTCCCACAGGTTGGTAACACATCTGGGTGTCCCCTGGACAATGCCGCTGCAGACGGTCAATTCTCTCATGCCAGAAGCAACTTGCTGTTTCTCAAGTTGCTTCTGACATGATAGAAAAAAATTGTAAGACTGTATAAATGGAACTATGTTGCCCTGCCATTGAAAGCCTTGCAGGCCATATAAAATGACATAGCGTGCCAGATTTGGCCAGCAGCCATTGCATTTCACATGTGTGCTTTAGGAGAATGTGGGAACTGTAGGCCTGAACATCTAGAGAGCCAAAGGCCTTCACCTTTGATCTAGAGGCTCCGTTGGGTTTGTAATGCTATGCAGAGTCGCACTGGGATATATCTTCCCAAATCCAACAGAAGTTGGTTCCGATGATACTTGCACAAAAGTGGTGTATAGGTGCCCAACACCTTGAGCATGCCCAGTGCAGCTTGCAATAGATCTGCAAATCCTCAAACATTTATCAAATATAGGACAGTTCACCAAGTGCCCAAGGGAATGGTTGTTCCAAAAATACATGAAGAACTAGTTGTATGGATGCCGGCCAAGACATTTATTTATCCATTTATTATATTTTGAACCCCTTCTAACAAAATTTCTTGGAATGGCTTGTATAGTACTATAAATAAAAATACAGTACACAATAAAATCAGCACAGGAAATACTAAGAGTACAAACTAAAATATTCAAAAGGAGCCAGAATCCCTGGGAGAAGAGCAATGTTTCAGCTTGGTGCTAAAAAGATAACAGTGTGGGCAGCAGGCAAGTCTCCCAGGAAAACGTATTCTCCAGGAAGGGAACCACAACTAAGAAGATCTTCTCTTTTGTGGCCACCAACCTAACGCCATTATAAACAAGACTTTCTATATTATTGTGTGTCTGAGTCATGCAGTTATAAAAGGCTGTTTCGTTTTTGTTTAACTCGAACAGTAATCTCCATTGTGCTGGGCAGAACCAAAATGGAACAAATCTTCTAACAACTAGATTCAAGGGTACAAACAGGGGTGGCTCAACCCATTATAAGCATTTGCGATATAGTTGATTTTGCCCAGGGGCGCTCTTGAGGCGCTCTTGGGGGAAAATAGACCTTGACACATGCAAGTTGTAGTTACTGGGATGTATAGTTCACCTACAATCAAAGAGCATTCTGAACTCCACCAACGATGGAATTGAACCAAATATGGCACACAGAACTCCCACGACGAACAGAAAATATGTATCAGTGATTGGTTGGGGGGCGGCGCCAAAATACTGTTTGCTTACCGTTGAAAATTACCTAGAGCCGCCTCTGGGTACACATATTGTCGCACCCTAAGCCTAGAGCCACCTATGACCACACAAGAATCCAGAGTAATGCAAAGAGTTTGTTGTAAAACACATAAAATATATGGGGGGGGGGGGGCAGGAATAAAGAAAGAATAGGAATAATCTAAAACAGGTTTAGTAATAGGTAAAAATCACACAGGATTCCAAATGTCTCATGAAAATCCAAAGGTCACACAGTCCAGGATTGCCAAAAATCACAAGTACAGCATAAATTCATAAGCAAAAGATATCCTTAGATAAACTTGAGCAAGAATCATAAAACAAGAATATAAAAAGCTTTCAGGATACTTGAATCCAAAAACAGGGCTTGACCTGACACAAGAACTCAGCCTTAGGTTCTCCTTCGAACGCCAATGTTGCCTGAACTAATTTTAAGGTAAACAACTGGCTGTTAATAAGCAGTCATGAAATCATGATGTTTCCCATGAACTTTATCTGTTTCCCATGTAATCTCGCTGACCTACAGAGCTGATTTTCTGTCCTGATTTGCAAACGGAGATCCTTGCTTACCTCTATACAATCACGTGCTTTCCCTTGAGTTTTCTATTTCACTTAATACGTCTTCTTCACTTGACCCCTTATCTAATGATGTTGTTTCTGCCTCCTGTGACTGAACTTGGAGCTCAGCACTGTCTGAGGCAATTTCATTCCTTTGGCCTGTATCACTTTGGATCCCAGGAAATCCCACAAACCCTTGAGAGTTTTCTATTTCACTTAATATGTCTTCTTCACTTGACCCCTTATCTAATGATGTTGTTTCTGACTCTTGTGACTGAACTTGGAGCTCAGCACGTCTTCTTCACTCGACCCCTTATCTAATGATGTTGTTTCTGACTCCTGTGACTGAACTTGGAGCTCAGCACTGTCTGAGGCAATTTCATTCCCTTGGCCTGTATCACTTTAGATCCCAGGAAATCCCACAATCCCTTCTGAATTATCCGTGAACCCATCAGCCCCTGGCTGCTGCCCTAGCTGCTGAGCTACAACACATATCATCTTTTTATCCCTCACTTTCTCCATTCAACTTCATATAATTGAGGACTTTCCTCCAGCTGGGGCAAAACATTAAGTACGTTTTTTTTCTCTTGAACAATTAAAAAGTATAGGAATTTAGTTATAGAAAGGTTCTATACCTCTGGCGTAACATTTCTTCAAATATGACCTCATAAAGAACTGGGCAAAATTCTGTGTGCAAATCTATTTATTTCCCCCTGTAATTGTTAAGAACCATTAAACCTGACTGTGATCCCGTTATCAAGATGTTTCAGTGATCAATAGAAATGATGTAAAGAGGGAGTTGGATCAGACCTGCTGAAATTAACATAATCAATCAAAAAGTTGGAAGAGACCCAATGATATTAATAGGACCTGAGTCAGCCATTACTAACAACCCTCCTTCATTTCAGTGGATGTTCTCCAAAGATCTTGGTCCAACTCTATATGTTTTAAGAAATGCCATTAGTACACATTGAAACAAGTTCATTGCAACTAAGCCCCATTCAAAGCAAAAGAATTGAATTTCATTTTCACTTGTCCTCACTGATGTCCATTAAACACTGCAATAGGAGCATAGTGTCTAGATCTAGGGAAGTAATGCTTCCCCTCTATTCTGCTTTGGTTAGACCACACCTGGAATATTGTGTCCAATTCTGGGCACCACAATTCAAGAGAGATATTGACAAGCTGGAATGTGTCCAGAGGAGGGCGACTAAAATGATCAAGGGTCTGGAGAACAAGCCCTATGAGGAACGGCTTGAGGAGCTGGGCATGTTTAGCCTGAAGAAGAGAAGGCTGAGAGGAGATATGATAGCCATATATAAATATGCAAGAGGAAGCCACCGGGAGGAGGGAGCAAGCTTGTTTTCTGCTTCCCTGGAGACTAGGACGCGGAACAATGGCTTCAAACTACAAGAAAGGAGATTCCATCTGAACATGAGGAAGAACTTCCTGACTGTGAGAGCCGTTCAGCAGTGGAACTCTCTGCCCCGGAGTGTGGTGGAGGCTCCTTCTTTGGAAGCTTTTAAACAGAGGCTGGATGGCCATCTATCAGGGGTGATTTGAATGCAATATTCCTGCTTCTTGGCAGGGGGTTGGACTGGATGGCCCATGAGGTCTCTTCCAACTCTTTGATTCTATGATTCTATGCAACCCAATATCTGCTTAAATGGAAGCAGGTCACAACTGAGAGTAAGTGTACGTAGCAATTTAATTCTTTGTATGTCTACTCAACAACACTGTCCATTAAGTTAGTGGGATTTGTTACACCGGGTTTTTAAAAATTAAAATACAGA